TTATGGGAATTTCCCTTTGCTTGTGAAAATCATTTCTGACCTCAACTCCGTGACGGTTAAATTGTTTACCTAATTCGCGTTATTAATTTTAAGATCCAAGGAGGGACGGGGCTTTGTGTAATTTCTGAGTCCCGCTTATGCAATATAAAGATAACAAATACCGTACCTTAGGAGTTTGTGGTGAACATAGTGCAGTGCAAATTAAAGATACCGAGCTGAAGCCGTGCCTCTTAGATGAACGATAAAACGTTTTCTCGGTTCGCTGCTTTGGCGTTGCGCGGCATGCTCTTCTTCGCCTTGCCTTAACTGTACGCAAAAGCGCATGTTAATTAGCCTAATCAGGAACCAATTCAAAATCATCACGGCCCCTTCGCGGCGATGGTCGTATTTCGTCGCTTTCGGTTTGAATGTGCGCCACAAGTAAAGCGACGAGATAGCGCGAACAATGCCTAGATTTACGGTAATCCCCATTGGAAAAACGACGTCTGACCTTTGAACCCGCCGAGCAGCGCGCAATCTCTAAATTGTATCTACCGGGATCGCGGAATAATGCTTTGGCGTCGCGCCGCCGAGATTTATAAATATATATTGTGAGAAATAAATTTACGATGGGGCAATTTTAATCGTACGGTTTTGAACCATAATCCCGGTATGGAAGAGTAGAAGCGGGTCGCATCCTGAACCTCTGCGTTCTCTAAATCGTGATTCTATCGGCGAAATTTATAAGTACTTATATATCAATGGAATTGTGCTACACGACGAACAAGCCACACTTGCATTCCCTACATTTTTTTCTCATTCGTAGCTTCATTTCTCATTGGGAACTTGAGATCCAAACCGTCGGGGATGTTCTTCATTGCTCTCTTAATCTTCATTCCATTCGTGCTCGCCTCTACAGTTTCATGTAATTTCGAAACTTTAAAAAGGGATTCCACTACTATAAATTCTTTTAAGTATCACAGCAGTAATTTCATTAAAATACTCAACAAAAAATTTAATATAAAGTACCTTAACAATTAAAACTGAACGCTGATGTTGTTGGTTGATTATTACTCCCACTAATACGGGATTGATAATATTACACCAATCAATTTAATAGCACCAATTACGAAAACTTCATTATTAACGTAATAAAGAAACAATAGGTGAAGATATTAACATGAATAACAATGTTAACAACTACAAGATTGCTATAGTAGCTCAAAAAAATTCAATTACAGTTGCAATCAGTGTTTAAAATGACGCATCCATGAATGAATTATTTATTTTTATTTGTGACGCTACCAACAGCGTACGATCCATGTTAAAAAGTTAACATCTGGAGTCGATTTTTAAAAAGAAACTCGCCTAAGTAATTCTGTAAATTTGTTATTAATTATTATAGTTATGATATCACTAAAACTGAAATTAGCTTACCTTTATGACTAGAACTAACATTACACTTAGAATTGAGTGGCAGTTTAATGTGTTGATCAACTTTGCTAATACTATTGAAACTAGTGGTGGAACGGATATCCGGCCACTATCCGGTATCCGGCCTATCAGGCCATTTTTGAAAATCCGGCTGGATACCGGATAATTACCAAATATCCGGTTTTGACCGGATATTAAAAATCTATTACTTAGTACTCCACCATTCACAGGAATTAGTATCTCTTTTAGGTATTGGACACTGCAGATAATTATCAAGTTCAACCGCAATAGGACTTTTTTCATTTAATACAACTTTATTTATATCAGTTTTGTCATTAGCAACCTCATTGTAACAATCCCAATACGATATATAAAATCTCTTGTTGCAGTTTCGTCTAGTTTTCTTCTCTTCGCTTGTAATTCATCATCACATTCATTACCAACAGAACTGTCGCTGTTATCACTTTCGATTCACTTTCAGTTCTTGAGAAATCAATTTTTGAAATGATCGACAATTTTTTCAAATTTTGCAATTTTCGCCGATTAAGTTTTAAAAATTCGTATAAAATCCAGTTCTTGGAATAGGAGTATGACAATAGCCAAAAATGTTAATAAAAGTGTCCTCTTTCCAATGAACAAATCCGTTTTTAAAAATAACTTTTGGTTTTTGAGAAAACAATATTTGAAGTTTTGATAAAATTTTCGGTGTTGCAATTTTCATCGATAATTTTCAAAATTCGCTATAAAATTAATTTCTTGAAGCATCCTTGTGGAAATATCACCAATTATTAATTAAAGTATCCTCTTTTCAATGCAAAAAACCGTTTTGAAAAATCACTTTCAGTTCTAGAGAAATAAATTTTTGAAATAATCGACAATTTTTTCGAATTTTACAATTTTCGCCGATTAAATTTTAATAATTCGTATAAAATCGATTTCTTGGAATATGAGTATGAAAATTTGCCAAAATGTTAATAAAAGTGTCCTCTTTCCAATGAACCAACCCGTTTTGAAAAATAACTTTTAGTTTTTGAGAAAACAATATTTGAAGTTTTGATCAAATTTTCGATGTTGCAATTTTCATCGATAACTTTCAAAAATCGCTATAAAATTCATTTCTTGAAGGATCCTTGTGGAAATATCACCAATTATTAATTAAAGTATCCTCTTTTTAGAGTTACTTCGTTAGTTAAATCAGCATCTAAAAAGTTTATTTTGTATCTTGGATCTAAATAAGTTGACATATCTTGTCAGCTTTCTTATTAATTTCATTTTTATTCAAATATCGCAATAATGTGGCAATATAGGGTATCACTTCAGAAATGCACCAGAAATTATAACCATAATGGCCGGGTAGATATGCCGGATAACCGAATATCCGGTATTCGGCTCCATCCGGTTCCATCACTAATTGAAACGCATCGGGTGCAAACGATTTCGGTTTTATACCAAAAAAATATATGATCTCCATATCATGTTAAGCCGAGGTCGAACAGTTATGTTAACGTATTTGTTAGAAACGATGATTATCCCAACAATAAAGTCGTTAAGTAACCTCGTAAAGCTAAATTCATCACCAATTTGATGTTAAGACTACGTATCCAAATGGAATAACTTAGAAAAGAAATAATTCAACGCTAATTATAGACCTATCCTTAAAACTTATATAGGTACCTCTAAAAACACATAAAATAACGTAAAAGTAAGAAGATTACAAACGATTATGATTATCACTGTGTGGTTAGGAAACTGTTGGAGAAAATTGAAAATTGGCCAGTTCTCATACATTTATGGGAAAGATAATGAAACTAATCCATATGGATCGACCCTACGATCTTGCGGTTTACAATAATCGACTTTATCTATTATATACTTGAAAATTAGCGGTAAATCGTGATATTAACTTGTGAAACGTGATCGTTAAAATGTATAAATTGTTGTTCGTTTTAACTGTAATTTGTTTCCACTTTCTTATTGAAAAGATTCTTTTTTGTTTATTTTATTTCTTGATGTATTGTTTTTTCGAGTGCTATGGAAATTAGAATGAATAACACATCTCTTAACGGTATTTTTCTTTTGTGTACTTTCTAATAATTCAGTATTATGCGGATAGGATCTTTATTATTAACGGTGTTAACAATATTGTAAAACACAAATTTGGTTTTATGGCGCCGCTAACCAAAAGAAGAAAATGCTTGTTAAAATAAATTTGAAGTTTGAGTATAAACACACTTTTACTTTTTTCATTAGAGGTCTCAATTATGAGGAGGGATTAGGGTGATAATTGTACGTTTGCTAATTGTTGCTAATTAACTTAAAATTATTAGAAGGTTTTTTAGCTGGTTGAATGCTGCATTTGCAAGGACTACACAGACGTCAATGTTTAAATAAATATGTTGGAACAGATTTGGGTTGTTTCGTTTGTATGTGTAGATCTAATTAAAGCTTAGAAATGAACAGGATTTAAAGTGTAGGATTTTTCTTTCGTCACGGTAATCTGTGCATCCCCCAATAACGATTAATAAAAATTCACACTTTATGTGTGAGTCATTAATCACAAAAAAAAGGTAAATTTGTAGATCCGATCCGTAGGAAAAAGCATGCATAAATTTCCGGTTTTTAATACCCACCCGGACTTCACTTGTAATTATCGCGAAAACGGAGCAGAAACCACAACAATAAAAAATAAGTGTAAAGTGAGTTAGACACAACGTAAAATCCCACGTCTCTATTTGCTCGATTCACGACGAGTCTCGACACGGTCAGACGCCTAAGCCAATATTATTTATTTATGGAACTGGCCGTTAGGTTTGTTGCGGTGTAGAGTATAGTATAATCCACCTTCTCTCGTGCTCAGTGAATCACCGGTTGTAAAAAAAACTACAATGGAACGTCGATAATTATAGATGAAATGATGAAGTACATCGGTAGTGAATATTAAGATTTATTTTATATTTAGGTACTTTTTATGTCTTATTTGATTAATGAAAATGCATTTCTAAAACGTTTTTAATTACTCGGAAAAATGTGAAGTGCTTGATGAATGCACACACAATGCACAAAACAATTTCCTGAATAATAGGTCACACAAGATATATTTGATAGTTGTAATTGGAAATCCCAAATGAAGAGTGAAGAAAAATAGCCAGAAAAAATTGTTCCACGACCATTGAATTCCGGATTTATACTACTCAGAATTTGAAAAGAAATGCCCAGCTATAAATCAAGTCACGGAAACAATACTACAACAAAATTTCCCTATATTTCTAAAAATAAGGATACCTTTTAACTTTCTCGCTTTCAGCACACCTGAAACCCAGCTGAAAACGCTGAAAATCGATGCGCGACTTGCACCGAGTCCTGCCATAAATACCGGACGAAACGGACGTGATGTCACAACGGTGACGTCATATCCGTGACGTAACTGTTTCAGCTGGCGGGGTGAGGGTTTTCAGCGTCTCATACAACGGTAGCTTCAGCGGAATCGATGCAGTATGACGTCACTGCGGTCATGACGTCTGCAGGATCGGCGAACGTCGGTTTATAATGAGCCAGTTGTGAGTAGCAGGGATATAGTGTGACGGAACTGTTCGCAACGTGCAGTCGCGTGAAAATCTCAGAGTGCTCTGGACCTAAGACACGGCCAGAGGTGATCAAGAGCGTTCTCCGGAGGCGCGCTTTTCCTTCTATATTAAAATACGGGACATTATATTAATCATATCAATTTGACATTAATAGTTACCATCAGAAAAAAAAGTGATTTAAGTGAGGAGGTTGTTTTTTTAGTGAAAGAAGAGTCCTCCGGATCGTAAAGGACTGTCAGTTATATCTTCGCGCGGTAAAGCTATATTATGTGTAATGTATGAGGGTATTAAGGGATCCAAGCGTGGATTCTCCTGTCGGTGGCCAAGAAGGAGTTACCACTCCTGCCTCACCAGACACACAGTTACAGGACTCCCCAGGTGATTTTTATGTGTCGTAGACTATTTCCTCATTAGTAGACGTTGTAGTTCATAAACCATCATCACCCCCATTCAATACACGCGCTACCTGTTGAACATTAATTCCCTCCATATACGTGTTTTGATACGTGTGTGGGCGAAAAAAAAACATGCATGTCCCCTAAAACTCCGTTTAAATGAAAAGAAATTCTCCCCAAAAACACTTAAAGTTTCCGTGGTCGTGTATAACTTCCGTAAATGAAAGGATAAGTAAGAGAGAGACTTTCAAGGAGGTCCTGGTACGATGACATCCTTGCGAAATGCGCTCTGGTTCGCCGCAGCAAAAGCACCGGCTGCAGTCCTCGTTTAGCCCGCGCCAAACTGATACCAACAACAATTCGCCAACTTACGGGTTCCTCAGAAATAAGTGTATGTAATTGATTTAATTTTTATTTTATCATTGGTGCTGAAACTCTTTAACGCTTTATTAAATTCACTTCTTAAACTGATAATCATGTACTTACTAACAAATACAAGAAAAATATATCTCTGTTGGTCTGTTAACGTCTTAAATTGTTGATCCATCGCTTAGTGTTGAAATTATAATTACTAATATATAAAATAAAGTTAAAATCTATTTGCAATAAAATTTGCCATAAAATAAATTTAATTTTTAATTGGAAATGGGGTGTTTCGTGATTTTGTGGCAGTAGTTTTATACTTGATAGAATTTTTAAAATTAAGAATTTCGAAATAAATAAACTACACAAAAAGTCAAAATTAATTATTTTCAATGTTAAAATGGGACATAACTCAAAAATTAAAATTGATAGTGAAAAAATGTTTGTATAAAAATTGTTTATAAAGAATCAAAACAACATAATCCATAATCTGTTATGACCCATTTTTTAGGTGATTCCTTAAAAATTTTATTACATTTTATTTTTAAACTTGTCACTTTTATGATGTATATCTAAAAATCCGAAATAATTGGAACGAAATAGTTTATGGATTATGGTTTTATGATACATTATGATCAATTTTTATTAATACCATTCTCATCCATAACTTTTAATTTTTGAATTATTAATTATGTTGATACCGAATGCGTCAAATTTGAATGTTCAAGATTTTAAATCCGCTGGATTCGTAATTATATTAAATGGGTTGTAATCAGTTAAGGAATATGTTTTATTGGTTAATTACGAACAATTTTCATCTACAACATTGTCTCCCAGCATTTTTATTTTTCGAGATGTAAATTTTTTTACTAAATATGTCAATTTAAAAAATTTGTCGGTTTTATGGGCTATAACTAAAATTCCGAAATAGTTGGAACGAAATAGTTTATGGATTATGCTTTTCTGATATATTATTAATAATATTTATTAATATTATTCTCATCCATACCTTTTAATTTTTAAGATATAAATTATGTTGATACCGAATGCGTCAAATTTGAATGTTTGGGATTTGCAATCCGCTGGGTTCGTAATTATATTAGATGGGTTATAATCAGAAACGGAATATGTTTTATTGGTTAATTACGAATAATTTTCATCTACAACATTTCCTCCCAGTATTTTTATTTTTCAAGATATAATAATTTTTTTTACTAAATATGTCAATTTAAACAATTTGTCGATTTTATGGGTTATAACTAAAAATCCGAAATAGTTGAAAAGAAATCGTTTATGGATTATTTTTTTATGGTAAATTATGAACAATTTTTATTAATATCATTCTCATCCATACTTCTTAATTTTTGATATATGTATTTGATATATTTGGGGTTTTAAATCCTTCCAGTTCTTAATTATAATAATTGGAAAATAATCGTTTACGGATAACGTTTAATTGGCTGATTGCAAATAATTTTATGCCATAACATATTTGGTTTCCCAGCTATAACAACATTTATTATAAAAAAAGATCAGTTTAATTTCAAGAATTTTATCAAGAGTATTTTCTAGTAATCTTAAAAGTGACAATATTATCCCATTCTTTATTAAATTGGGACACCAACCTCTACCGTCAATTATTCATAATTTAAGGTTGCCAGATTGGCTTCTATGGGTGAGCACAAGTGCGTACGATTTTGCAGGCCAGTCATACGTTATTAGGCATATTGCTGAGAAACACCTGGCTCAAGAAGATTATTAATGAAGACAAAATAGCCGGCCGAAGCGAAAGGCTTGCAATGAGTAAACGCTGTGAAATACCATAACCGTATACATTTTCTTGGCAGGAGTTATTTAATGACCGTCTTGTAGTAAGTAGAACTCTGCGGCCGGCCGACGCCGTAAATTGTGATTTATTCCAATGAAAATAATATAATTAAATACATTTTATGAAAGAGGGAGCGTTTATCTCTCCGTTTATCTAATGTAAGTAATATGTATTACAAGTCGGATGAATGTCCTACATGTTATAAGAAATCGTAAGGTTTATAATAATTTTCTAAGCATTCTCTTTAATCGATATTGAGAAATATCTTAAAGACATAAATTAGTGTTTTATCCCAAGGAGAAAAATCGAATTCAACTAAGTAAATAAATTAAAAAAGCACAAATAAATTATTAAAATAGATTCGTGAACCGTAACGAAAATAAGTTGTGCAAAAAATGTGCATCTATATTTATAATAAACAAACCGAGGTGCCAAATACCTCATAGAGATAGAAAGTATAACATAGATCATCCTTAAAATGTTTCTTACGTTAAAAATTTGTAGGTTGTACAGTAGGCGACGAAACTTGTGACTAATTTCGTGCCAACAAGTGGATATATAGTTAAATGGGGTGAATAGAGAAGCCGGAAAAACTGTCGAGTCGCATTAGCCGACGATAAGTAATACATCTATTATTATCTCTTTGGGATCGATTGCCAAAAATCGACAGTTTAGCGCCTACCTCTCAACGCGGATGGTTCGAGAGTTTTAAAATTGAGGCGCCGACAGTCATAAGATGGGCCAGACGAGGCCAATTTGTTAAAGAAAAATTTGGCAAACGTCGAGGATTGTCACAAGGAAATTAATTATGAAAAAGAAGATCTATTTTCCATTTTAAATTTGTTGTTAAATCTAAATTAAGATTATTCATGTGATATTTATTTTAAATTAATGATTTATTTTCAGAACACAATAAATCGATCGTATTGTGTTACAATCTGAGAAAGTTTCGTTTACAAAACGATAATAAATCTCCGATTTAAGATTTATTTCTTATTCATTTTTAATAAATATGGTAATACTTTTATCAGCGTACCACATTTCCAAGTAAGGTAGTAGTACATCTTAGTGAGAGATTGAAATATTTCCCCAAAAACCGGCTAAGTCGTAAACAGTCGATTTCGGACGCACCGATGACGTAATTTCGACTGAAAACTTTTAACTTTCGAAAGTATCCGACCTGAAAATTCCGAGGTAAAGATTCCGACCGATTTATGCGTAAATGCGCCAGGTGTTCGTTCGGTAGCAGAGTGGCTCATTAATTTGAATTAATAATAAGTAGGACGTAGTTATTACTTTAGATTCTGCGGTGGCCCGATGCTTTACAATTATATAAGTAGTGTGTAATTAACAAACTAGACACTTAGGTAATCCGGTGTGAATCAAAAAGATGTGGAACACCAAAAACCCATAAATCAGTTCTTAAGTGCTTAATAAATCAACTCCTAATCATTTCAAAACTCTTCTTTTTTACGTAAATTAATTAATTTAATCAGTTTTAACATTTTTATTTTATAAAGATATCTCAATTCATTCTTTAGATAATAATTTTTAAATTAGGTTTTTACCATCATTTATAAAATAGAAGGAATAATTTCTATAACTATTTCATATCATTATCTCTATTAGTTTTTGAGATATGATTTTTTGAAAATTCATGTTTCTAAACTTTATTTTCATACAGAGATGAATTAAAAATCGTATCAACGGTTATTTAGAGTTACCAAAAATACGCAAGTCGACTTTGAACCTAAAAACGTAGTCAACGTAAATAGGCAACGTGACCAAGTAAAACGTCATGATATGCAAAGTGTGGTAAACATACGAAAAAGGAACGCCTATCCCTAAAAAACACATGTTGCACGTCCTTCCGCACATCTGTGAAACAGGAAAATTGTCGGATTCGGTTAACTTTCTTCCCACCGAGAGTGAACGCGCCTCGATGACGTCAAAGCATCCGTATTAATAGAGCGTCGCGACGCCCAGTCGGTAACGACCCGCTACGTCATATTGACGTCATGCCTCACACCCATATGCTCGATAACGTCATACGGTCATCATCGATTTTATGACGTCGTTCTATGTCGATCTCGCTTATCCCAATTGAGTTACGGTGAAGTTATCGTTTCCCGTCTCTTTCTTGCGACGCCTGGCGTCGAGGTCACAGAGAAAGTTTGAGGTAGCACAGTATACCGGCTACTTTGGTACGGAACGGTTTTCCGCCAGCTGATTGAAAATCACTTGAAACTTTTCGTTTGTGTGTGTTGTTGTTAAACTGAAAATTAAAATTGACGAAAAATCAAGTTGCACTCCTACAATTGGTATGTTATTTAACTAGTTAAGATATCTTTATTTATTAGTTTAAAGAGTTAATACAGAAATATAAGTGTTGATGATGATTAATGCAAAAGGAGTTCCCGCCGATAAATACCTTAAGAGTTAGGCATGGTCCCGTATTCAACAGCAATTGAAGTACCTTAACACGCGCTGAGACAACCTAAGACAAGATCAGATAAATAGCAAATTCATTACTATATAAACTAGTCGCGCCAGCCGCGTCAGAGTGGCGTGCCATTTTGAACGCTAAGATAAGGTCTTTAAGGTCTTCCCAGGTACACCTACACGAATTCTCGAGTGCACACCGTTGGTAGCCAAGCCTATATCGCGTTTGTAATCTACTTACCAAAGTTTATTTTACACATACACAAAGTGTAATCCTACATTGTCGATGCGACCTATCTTATAACATCAAAAAGTTAAAAATTAATAAATACGAATTCCATCGAAATTTTAACCGACAATAACCCTCAAATTATCATTAACGTTTACTAATTTGATTAACACTCGTGAATCTTTCCCGAGGCAAAAATATTTTCTGTTTGTTATTGCATCCTCTATACAACGAGATTAGAAACTGTGTATTGCTCAATCTCAAACAACTTTCTTATTAAATCCCCGTCAGTAAAGTTGCTCAATCACCAAAAAATCACACGCGATGACGCCGACCCCGGTGGCGGACATCAAATATTAACATTTTCGCAACATCTTCCTTAAGTGGGCTCCATTTGGTAGAAAGTCGAATTTCCACCCTTCAACGTCACCGTGAAGCTTTAACATCGATCGGTGGCGTCACTTCGTGTGCTGGTGACGTAGGTGTTTCAATTCAACGTACCACGAGAAGCATGGTAATTCCATTCATA